AAGTATTCTCACACTTCTTATCAAACTGTCTGTACTGGACTATCTTGATTATCACTTCAAAAGTTTATTTTGTTATTATTTTTTTCTCTTACTTAATTGGCCTCTCAGAGTTGGTAAGACAACTCCCACCTGTTCATGCTCTCTGTATGTGTGTATATATATATCCTCAAGATATGTTCCATTCTATATGCATCCGAAGAAGTGGGCTGTAGCCCACGAAAACTGATGCTCTAATAAATTTGTTAGTCTCTAAGGTGCCACAAGTACTCCTGTTCTTTTAACTACCCAGGCATCTGTTAGAAATGTAATATGGCAAAACACAAAATTTCCAATAAATTCTCAATGTTCTGGGGACAATTTTTTGTTTCAGAAAGTGAAAAAGTAACCAGAGGGTCAGCTATTTTAGACTTGATTCTCACCAACAGTAAAGAATTGATAGTGAATCTGAAGGTGGAACAGATTATTAAACAATCCATTTGTAAGCACCTGGAGAATAATGAGGTTACAAGGAATTGCCAGCATGGATTTGTCAAGAACAAATCATGCCAAACCAACCTAATTTCCTTCTTGGACAAGGTTACTGGCCCAGTGGATACAAGGAAAACAGTAGATGTGAAATATCTTGGTTTTAGCAAGGCTTTTGACCACAGTCCCACATGACACTCTCATGAACAAACTAGGGAAATGTGGTCTAGATGAAAACATTATAATGTGGGTGTACAACTGGTTGAAAGACTGTACTGAAAAAGTAGTTATCAGTGGTTCACTGTCAGATTGGGAAGGCATAACGTGGGGTTCTGCAAAGGTCAGTCCTGTGCCCATCACTATTCAATATTTCCATGAATAACTTGGATAATGGAATGGAGATATGCGTATAAAATCTGCAGATGACACCAAGCCGGGAGGGGTTACAAGCACTTGGGACAACATGATTACAATTTAAAATGACCTTGAAAAATTTGACAATTGATCTGAATTCAACAAGATGAAATTCAATAAAAACAACCACAAAGTGCTTCACTTAGGAAGGAAAAATCAAATGCACAACTACAAAATGGGAAATGACTGGGTAGGTGGTAATTCTGCTGAAAAGGATTAGGGGGTTATAGTGGATCACAAAGTGAATATTAGTCAACAATGTGATACAGCTGCAAACAAGGCTAATACTCTGGGGAGAATTAACAGGCATGTCATTGAGGTAGTTGTCCCACTCTACTTGGCATTGGTGAAGCCTCAGCTGGAGTAGTCTGTCCAATTTTGGGTGCCACACTTTAAGAAAGATGTGGACAAACTGGAGAGAGTCCAGAGCAGAGCAACAAAAATGATAAAAGGTTTAGAAAACCTGAGCTGTAAGGAAAGATTTAAAACAAAAACGGGGCATATGTTAATCTTGAGAAAAGACAACTAAGGGAGGGACCTGATAGTCTAGAAATATGTTATGGGCTTTTATAAAGTGGATGGTAATCAACTCTTCTCCACGTCCACTGATGGAAGGACAAGTGGTAATGGGCTTAATCTGCGGCAAGGGAGATTCAGGTTAGATATTAAGAAAAATTTTCTAACTATAAGGGTAGATAAGCTCAGGAACGGGCTTCCAAGGAAGGTTGTGGAATTCCCATCGTTGGAGGTTTTTAAAAACAAAGTTGGACAAATATCTGTCAGGGATGGTCTAGGTTTACTTGGTCCTGCCACAGCACACGGGGCTGGGTTTGATGACTTCTCAGGGTCCCTTCCAACCGTGGCACCCTTCCAGCCCTGCGTTTCTCTGATTGTATGCTTAGTTTTCTACATGTTGCAAGACTTGCTTTACAACAAAGGTGCTAAAATCTATTCGAAATAAATGCTACCAAGTTCTGATGCTCTTTTTAATACACCTGCTCACAATCATAGAAGTTAGAGATGGAAAAGTCATATTAAATCACCAGCCCAACTCCCTGCGACTGGGGATTTGTCCCTGTTATACATTTTATAATTTCAATTTTTGTTTTGGAAGTGACAAATAAAATCTTTCTGTTGCGAAGTTATTTCACAGCCTTGTAGGAGCTCATTCTTAGGACACTTTCCCTGATATTTAGACTAAATTTTCCGTTTTTAAACTTCACCCAGGATTTTAACTGATACCTCCATGCAGCTCACTACATAAATTTGCCCCTTCCTTTGTGTTAAGAAAATTCATGTATTCCTAGACAGACAAGATGGATGAGGTAATATCTTTTATTGGCCCAACTTCTGCTGGGGACAGAGACAAGCTTTTGAGTCACACAGCGCTCTTCCTCAGGTGTGAGAAAGGTACACCCAGGGGTTACAGCAAAATGCAAGGTGGAAGGGACTGTTTAGCCCAGGTGTTCCCAACACGTTGCCCGTGGGCTCCATGGCGCCCGCCGAGGCATCCATGTGCGCCCGCCTACTGGCCGCCAGAGAAGCAGCCGCCGAAATGCCGCTGAGAAGCGGCAACGTCAAGAAGCGCTACTGCCGAAATGTCGCCGAATTTTGGCGGCAACACCTCTTGATGACGCTGCTTCACGGCGGCATTTCAGCGGCGACGCCTCTTGACATTGCCGCTTCACGGCAGCATTTCGGCAGCTGCTTGTCCAGCGGCCATAGTCCTCGGCGGCTAGTCGTCCGGCACCTGCCCACGGAAAAGGTTGGGGACCACTGGTTTAGCATAAGTGGTTAGAACATATTGTAAAGGACCATTCAAGGTAGAGTGGACTGTTAACACCTCTGCAGTGATAAGACAAAAAGATGGGATTAGTGGGCCTCTGTACCACATGTTGTGATAGACATGTGTAGGATCCATGGATTTGAAAGGTGTGTTGTGGGGAGTGTTAATCATTGTAGCAGGGGAGATATGTCTGCAGGTTTTGTCATACAGAAAAATGTTTTCTGTACTAAAACACTAATTAATATACTACAAATTACAGCATATCGCTGCTTGCAATAGGTTCTGTATATCATTTATATGCTGTCAGCTTTATTAATTAAGTTTGCTATAAAATTTATAGCAAAAAATAAAATTAAAATCCCTTTTTACACTCCGTCAGCACAGAGTGGAATCTGAAATAGTGTGGTAATTTCCTATTTTAAGTACAGGAAAATAACTACTGCAGCTTAAATAACACATTAATTGTTGACTTTTGAAATGTGACCACTGTATTCCAAACATGCTTGTATTTTCAAAATGATTATTCTTCAATTGCCATCAACTCTGATTAGGAAGTTTGCTACAATGAACAAGGGCCTCATTCTTAAAAACTGGGTTAGGCTCATAAATTAATAGTAGGACACACAAAGATATTTTCAGAGTGCTGAGTACACACAAATGCCAATGAAATCAATGGGAGCTGCAGATACCCAGCAGCTTTGAAAATCAGGGCACTTTTTTTAGGTGCCTAAACGTGGATTTAGAAGCTTGCATCTTTAACAGGCTCTCTCTTTCTGGTGGCTAAATCATAGGTGCAATTTGGGGATGGATATAGTGCACACATATGCTCACCATGTTAAGGACATCAACTTAGGTGAAAGTATTTTGCAGTGGATTTTCTTGGATAACGTTTTTTCTAGATGATTCTATTTCCATTATCCATTTTTCCAATCAATTCTCCAACCTCCCTTCCAGAGGTGAAAGTACGCCGGACTGGACCAGCTTCTCCAGTGGTGATTTAAAGGGCCCAGGGCTCCAGCTGCTGCGGGGAGCCTCGGGCCCTTTAAATCACCGCCGAAGCCCTGCCGCCACTACCCCAGGCTGGCAGAGGTTCTTGCTTGGGATGAAGCAGGCATATCATCCTTTGGAGAAGGCACTTGGTGTGAAATTCATCTCCCTGTGCAAATGGTGTGCACAAAGCCTATGCACATCCACAAAATAAGGCAAAAGTGGGACTTCAGGTGGCATATAGGACTTATGGGGCTTCTCCACAGCAGGTGAATGTCAACCACCGTAGCTACTGTCCAACAATCATTCCATCTCCAGTCCTGAATACAAGCAATTCTCTTGGCAGCAGAATGTTTTGTTCTGGCTCAGAAAAGACCTTTTCTTAAATAAAAAGCTTTAGAAACCATAATTCAAATAATGTGTGTGCTTATCTTCAGCAAACAAAGGGAGCAAACTTTAATAAAAACAAGAAAATTGAAAGAGGTGCTGTTGTCTCTACACACACACACACACACACACACACACATTCTGTACAAACTAGCAGCCAGCTTATTTTGTCTCACTTTGAACTCGAACAGCGTGAGTTTGAAAGTTTTGACTCCAACTCTAATGTTATTGGGTTCGCAATCTTCTTAGAAAGAAGGAGAGAGAATAAAATACAATCAAACATACAGATTGAAAACCACAGAGGGACTGTGAAAAAAGGAACCAAGGGAAGGGGAAAAGAGGAAATTCTAAGGAAAAAAAAACAGATATAGAGTGTATATTGTTAATAGGGCACCCACGAAGTTAGGTTAGATTTTTGGGGAGGTTATGATGTCCCTTATACATAACACAGCTTTTTGTAGCTAGTCTTAACAAAAACAACTAAATAATCTTGAGTGAAAAAAACAGAGAGAGAGAGACAGAAGTAGCTTATTTCTCTCTCACACACACCATCTACTTATACACATGTACTTGTACTGTAGAACACCAGAGTTACAAACTGACCACAAACCACATTTGGAACCAGAAGTACGCAATCAGGCAGCAGCAGAGAAAAAGAAAAAGCAAATACAGGACAGTACTGTGTTAAACGTTAACTACTAAAAAATAAAGGGAAAGCAGCATTTTTCTTCTGCATAGTAAAGTTTAAAAGCTGTATTAAGTCAATGTTCAGTTGTAAACTTTTGAAAGAACAGCCATAATGTTTTGTTCAGAGTTACGAACATTTCAGAGTTACACAAAATCTCCATTCCTGAGGCGTTCATAACTCTCAGGTTCTACTGTATATTATATTGCGTGATCTTTAAGGAATGTATACCACCTCTTAACTGCTGATATATGCTTCTGCGTTACTGAAGCTTACCTCTTGTACTTGGGAAGGAATTGTTAAGCTGTTCCATCACCTCCTCCAGCCCTGTGCTTGTGTCCTGGGGAGGGCTGAGCAGGTCATCCTCACCTGAAAAACAAATACAAACCATGGCATTTACGTCACTGCAAAAACATCTGGTAAACAGATCACTATGGTACTTCTCCCCTCCCCCCAGCCCCCGCCATGTACCTTACGGAGGCAGGACACTTGAAATAAATCCTCCTGGCTAATATCCAGTCTAAATTTTAAGGGGTAATTTTGTCACCAAATATTAAATGCTTTCCATTTTAATGAAGCTGTGTAAAATCAGGCAAATCTGCATCTTAAACTTTAATTCATTAAAAGAATGCCAGGATTACTTGATCTGGGGGAAATGTCTGCTAAGAGGAGGGAGTTCATATAAATGATGATCCTTGTTTCAGTTTTCCTCATTCCATTACTAGTACCAATTTTTGCTGTTGTGAGCAGTGCTGTTTGAGCAGCTCTCTAATGGTGCTGGCTTCATGTTAGGAATGCTTTGCCTAGCAGAGTAAATCTGCATCAACATTAATATTTCTGACAGTTTAATTGCATCAGATTGGTGCTCCAGGAACACTCAATTGTACTGTGAAAGGTTTTAAAAAAACAGTTCAAACAAAGCAAAATCCATATGTCCCTTTGAATGATTTCTATAATCTGATTATAAGGCAGAAGCTTACTGGGAAGTTCAGCACCCTTCATCTTTACAGGTATTTTTACATTTTCTGATGTTTTCACATAACCAAATGCCATCTGCCCAATTGTACAGGAAAGGGTAATTTTGCTTAGTTTTTAATCTGAAGCCTAATAGCAGTAAAGTGCTTAAAAAGCAGAGTTTCTAAAGGAGAATACACCTGGAGGGTTATCTATGAGAGTGAGATTCTCTCTTATTTGTCTAATCCCCCATTAAGACACAAAAGCTGCGTTGCCATCTGTAATAACCCAAGCAGAGATGCATCAGCATTTTGAAAATTATTTGAGCCTTTGTCCCATTTCACAGTCCTCTATTATTAGTGTAGAATACACCTGGCATCTTACCTCACTGGACCTGAAAAAGCAATGCCACCTAAAGAATATTAATGCTACCACCTCCCGTCCTCCCATTTTTGATACTCCATGTCAGTGAAATCTCTACTACAAGTACACAGCAAAATCCAAGTCTTGTAGCACTGCTTCTGTCAGGCTTAGTATGCATCTTGGCTTTGGACCAGAAGGCTGTGGATTCAAGTCTTGTGGCAGGAATTATTTTCATACAAAATGTTGCCCCATTAGAGGTGTTGTCCTTTGAAAACTTAAGAAAACCAGAGTCACTTTTCCAGCCTCTGATGGATGTCAAGGTGGAAATTCAGAGCCAGATTTTGCCACTACTCAGGCTAAATACCTGAATCAGCCTGGATAAAGAAGGCAGAATCTGGCCCTAAAGATTCAAATATATATTTTCAAACAATAGGGAATAATCCTATTATGTTCTGGCCAACATTAATCACCTGAGTAAGGACAGACACTAATATCCAAAGTGGTATTGTTAAGCACAGATACAAGTTTAGCTGTATATGCCCTCAAGGTCAATATACGTTTATTTACGATGTATTCACTGCTCTTATCTTAATGCTAAGTGCATTAGAAAACACTACCTAAAATTTACTTTTAACTTGTAGTTAAATATAGTTTAAATTGTATTTAAATAAAATAATGAAACCGGACATCATACAAGCAGCCCCCAACAACAACTAAAAGACTTCAAATGTATTGTAACAGTGAAAAGGGCTGCATGTTAGCATAGCTAAAAAGATCCCATGTAATCTTTGTTCCAGGGTCAGGGCCGGCTCTGGCTTTTTTGCCACCCCAGGCAAAAAAAGCCTCCCGCTGCCCCTGGCCCTCCTCCCGGCAGGGAGCGCGGCAGGGGAGGGTGCTGAGCCCGACCGCGGGCCGCTCTCCCCAACCGGCCGTAGCGCCGGGGGGAGGGCAGCGGGCCCGCTGCGGCTCCGCTGGCGGCTGGAGCACCGAGAGGAGGGCGGAGAGCCCGGCCAGGGCTCCACTCTCCCCGGTGGCCAGAGCGCCGGGGGGAGGGCGGCGAGCCCGCCGCGGCTCCGCTCTCCCCGGCTGCCAGAGTGCCGGGAGGAGGGCGGAGAGCCCAGCCGTGGCTCCGCTCCCCCCAGCGGCCAGAGCGCCGGGAGGCGGGCAGAGAGTCCGGCCACGGCTCCGCTCTCCCCGGCAGCCAGAGTGCCGGGGGAAGGGCGGCAAGCCCAGTCGCGGCCCCACTCTCGGGCCGGAGCGCCGCGCCGCCCCCCGCCAGGTGCCGCCCCAAGCACATGCTTGGTAGGCTGGTGCCTGGAGCCGGCCCTGTCCAGGGTTCTGGAATGCTGCTTCACTGTGAAGTCTCATTATGATTACACTGAAATCGATTACACATCTTACTGTCCTTTTCATTTTTGTCTCAGAAAACTAATTTAGGTCTAACAAATTATGTTAAATGGGAGTCATCTTTAGCAGGATGCACAATGAGAATCCATTTACTGTATGTTTGGCCTAACTAATGACACAACAAAGATCTATACATCTGTTAATAAGAAGGCTGGTAACTGCTGACTTTCTGGTTTTGCATCCATATGTTTAAGTAATAGATTTTATGGAAAAAGGGAAAACACATAGAAAGAAGTAATTAAATAGTCATGAAATGATTAAGCTCATCACAATTCAGTTCTTCAGAACACTAATCTAAATCATATTAGTATGTCCATAACAAATTTTGTATATAGTGCAGGGTAACTAAAGTGAGAAGCAAACAAGCAATTTCAGTAATAACACCCCCCGCCCCTGCCACACAGACATCTTTGCTCATTACTGTACTTTCCTCTCAGCCCTAGTATTTAACTTTAAGATCACTTCAGCACTACACATTTTCTCAAAGGTACATTACTCCACACTGGTTATTGTAGGAGATCCCTACATAGTCAATTTTTTTGCCCCAATCATGCATATGATGATGGTAGCATTATCACTCACAAGGCAGCAGATGTCCAATATAGGGTAAATCTGTCACCTCCATTTAATTTAAGACTGACAACAAGTTCTGTAAACCCACACCCACCTCTGCGTCTGAACTAAATATGTTTTACAGTGTGATAGAGGAAAACATTAATTCCCCCAATTTTTAAAAAAAGAAAAATCAGCTTACTGCATTTTAGTTATCTGTACAAATCAGAATATTTCCAATAGCCTTAAATTTGTTTCTTTTGTGAAGCTATTGGTACTTTGAAGTCATCAAATTAAACCAGCTTATTGTAAGAATACATTGCTAAACAATTACTGCTTTACTTAAAATAATTCCCTGTTACTGGGTGTGACCTGGAGAGACAGACCCTCCCACCCCCTTAGAAACCTGTCAGGGCTCCATGTGAAAGGCTGATGACTGCCTGGCAAGATAGGTATGCATATAAGCAGTTGATTCTTTTCAAGATATGTTTTCTCTGTAATACTTTTGTTCTGAATAAATAATACTTTGCTTTACGAAGCCTGGCTGGTCATTGATTAACCCTGTCACAACCCTTGGGAAAGAACAGGATAGCAGGTGCTGAACTAAACTCAGCTTTGCTGGGCAATAAATATCTATCAGATAGGAAACTACAGCAGAAGCGTTACCAAAAACAAAAATATCAACGATTATTCACTGAAGACTATTGCTGAATAAACCTTTCTCCACAACCAATCTGTGATTTATCATCATAAATATATTTATAAAAGCTACCAGGTGGGTGCTGCCTGTCAGTGGCCTATCACTCAGTTCTATTTATCTGAGCAATGATACATTAAAATAAGATCACATCAATTAACCATGTGGGATGGTTGATCATTTTTTTAAATCACTTAGTCATAAGTAAGACTGTGTCTGTGTAAATCAGATTAGATCAAATTTATTAGCTTAGAGGTTATCTGAACAGCTTGCTTTAGCTTTTTCTTGGTACCTGTTTTTCAAATACAAGCCCTGATGGAGCTTTCTGTTTGATGTCAAAATATCTGTGACACTGCACCATGGTTAAATACAAAAGCCTACATCATGATATACAATGGAGAAATAGCCAACTAAAGTCAATGCCCATTGCAAATGCCCACTGTTTGTATTAACAACTGAATAAAATCTTTACTATCCTTAGCTAATTTTGTGGTGTCCTATACTGTAAAATATAAATATAAATCTCTCGTGACAGTTTGAACGTTGTCATCTTACCCATGGTTTCTGAAGTCTGGCTGCCGACTACGCGGAGAAGCATTGGCTGACTGCTGTCTGACCTCTGTAAGGAGGTAGAAGGAGAAGACAGTGTTGTACCATTCACCTTGGAATCTGCCTGGGGCTGAGATATCAGAATAAAACACGGTGGTTATTCACAGCTGAGCACATTTGAGCAAATTTTTATATTTCCATATTTTGTATATATTCCACAATGGTTACACAGCAATTTTATTCACTACATTTCAATGGGCTAAGGATCCAAATTCCAAATTAAAAAAGCTACTGCACTGCATTCACACACCAGTGATTTTATCTTACCACTTGCAATCTAGAGTAAGATCAAGTTCCTCTCTCTGACTACACTTCACAGATATCACTTCTTGATGTGCTACAGTTATTGATAACATTTCAAACTCTGCTTTGGAAAAATCATTCTTTAGGGCTCCAAAGAAAAAGCCTAAGGACTTACCTGTTCCAGCAGCTGCCTCAGCCGGTGCAGCTGTGACTCCAGCTGTTTGTTGTGATCCTCCAGAATCTGCATCCTGGCTTCCAGGCGGCCCTTGTGCTGTCGAAGCAGCTTGGCTTCTGCAATGAGCTCAGCATCACGAGGACTTTGGGGGGAGATGGGCATCATCTCAGGGGGGGATGGCAGTGGAGAAAGTCCTTTGTTATCATGTTGTTGCTTCAGTCGGTCATATTCAGCCTGCAGGTTTCTGTTAATGTCAAAAAAAGGAAAGCCTTACCATTACAAAGTAGAATAGTACAGCCTACGCCATCCTCCGGCTATAGCAGTCAGAATGCACATCACACATATAACTATTAGGAATAGGCACACAGTTTGGGATTTAAGCCCATCCAAACCACCTGCCTTCGAGTCTGCTGAAACTAATCTACAAAGTTTGAGTTTGGTTTGACATAGGTAAGGTACCAACTTGTACAGGTTTTCACACTGGGATGTCAGGATGTTGCCCTGAAACACAGATATCATTGTCAGGTCTCTGGTTCATAAGAGTTCTGAACTCCCTTCCCAGAGCACGGGTGGCAGGTGAAGGGTGACTGCTCGAGAAGCCCCTCCCAAAGCATAAGCAGGAGGTGTGGTTCAGCTTCCAGTTGGCTGAACTTTGTAGTTAACAGCAGACAATGAACCATTTGCTCATTTCTAAAAAGTGTGAGTACTGTGAAATGTGAATGCTACTATTTGATCACAGAATACACGGTATATACAATACTAGTAATGCACTTATATAGCACTTTGCCTATTCAAAGCACTGTGCAAACACTAATTCATTTTCACACCAGCGCAGTGAAGGACGTAGGCAAGAATTATTCTAATTTACAGATCAAAAAACTGAGACGGAGAGAGTGACGTAGCAAGCCTGTGGCAGAACTTGGATTTCAAGTCCCCACTTGCAACTTTGTGCTCATTCACCACATCAGACCAAACTGCCTCCCTTATATTTACCATAAACTAGATTTTCAAACTAACTGTTAGAATGGGAAATTGAGTAACAGAGAAACAGGCAATGAGCTGACCTGTTAAATTAGACTTAAATTTTGTTAATGTTTTAATAGCTGGGCTATATACAGCATTCTCTGAATGCCACATTTCTACCATCACTTTACTACTCTGTTAATCCTGCATTGGGCTAACTGTTCTTCTAGTCAGTCTCTTGAATAAAACACTCCATAGGATTAATATCAGATGTGAGGCCAAAGAGCATCATGCTGAAGGAATTCTACTGAGCACTTGAAACAAGAACATTTCCCTGGTGAGTAGTTACTTAGTTTTCTTTTTAAGATCACCCTCTGCATGTTCTGCAGAACAGAGGAGGTGAAAAGCTAAAAACCTAGTTATGGACAATGCAGTCCATCTTACAACCAAAGAAATAAAATTTCGTAGCAGCAATCTTCACACAAAGGGGAAGCATAATAAACTGTATTGGGATTTTACTGCTATAATGTCCCTTTAGTACTTCCCAGAGTGAAAAATGGTACCACAGGCTACAGACCTCATAACTGCTTACTTGACAAAAGTAGTGGCCTAGATTTTCTTATTTTTTAAAACTCTTTATTATATGCCCTGGTACAGATAGAATAGAAGCTGTGAAAACAGAGACCTTTTTCTTATTCCTGCCAGTGAACCCAATTTCACATTTACATTCTGATCTAGAGGCTTAAAAACACCTCAGAAACCCTACTGTAAGATTTATTAAACTGGGGAATGCTTAGAAAGATATAGAAGTACGTCCACACTACATGAACGGTTCGGGGTAGGGGTGGGGGGCTGTATGTGGCTGTAACATGAGACAAGATTCTACAACATGAAGATTAGCAGTGCTAAAGGAGCTGGACATCTTGCCTGCTCCAAGCAGGAGGAGAGGACCTACACTTGCTCTTAAGTCAAACATGTTATGTATAATTTCACATGGACAAGAAAGTGATGAGAAGTTACTTACTGGTAACTGTTGTTCTTTAAAAATGTTTCATCTGCATAGTCACACTTGGGGTATTGGTGCTGTCTCGGGATGAGCCGTGGCATTTTCTAGAGAACAATGCCCACTGAGGACATTCACCCTCCTCTACCCCCCAGTCCTTCCCTTGCGGAGGATTCTGAGTATGAAAGGGGGAATGGCTCCACCCACCTTTCAGTTCCTCCCCAAAATTTTGGTATTCTTTCTCTGCTAAAGGGGGAAGGTGTGCAGTGAGAATTTACAGACACACTCAAAGAACAGCAGGTACTGGTAAGTAAGCTCTCTCTTTGAGCTTCCCACTAGAATGCAGGACACCACCCAGGAAGGCTAAAGAGTTCTAGATGAACAGATGCAAAACTGCCACATCAGCTCTGGATGGGAGGTCATGAGAGCGTTAGAAGTGATCACAATTTCTCTCCCCAAGATCAGACCTTTGCAAGGGAAGCATTTTTGCTTCAAGCACATATAGAGCTTCCAGAAATAGCTTTTCAAATTCTGTGGAAAAGACAGAAGGCCTGCAATGAATGCTGTCTTTGGGATAGTTGAATATCTTTTGATATATCCAGATGAATGAACACCGGTGAGTCATAACAATGGTGTAAAAGCGACTTGGGAAATACAGACAGATTAGTGGCCTATATGAGGTGGAAACAGAGATTATGACACCGATGATACCATATTTCCCATATGGCCTACAGTTAACAGAGGATTGGTCATTTGGCCTGTTTCTCACTAAGTCCACAGGCTGTAGCTATGGCTATGAGGAATGCCCTTTTCCTAGATAGCAGACCTGAAAAGGTCAATCAAGTGCACTCTAAAGACTCAGAAATCTATTTTCTTTAAATCTTATGACTTTGGGGGATCTGAGTCATGATTTTTCAATTCTCGGGGTCTCAATATTAAATCTGCCAATGACCAGATCTGCCAGGTTTAGTGCTGGTTTATGTTGGTTGAGTGAAGCAATAGAGCCCCAAAATATCAGAGAAATGTGGCTACAGTGTTTTGATGCTGTCAAAACCCTCTTGAGCCTTTGCTATGAAAGGTAAAGAAAAGCTAGGAATGGAAAGTTAAATTAGGAAGAAATGAAGAAAAAGGTGTCTGCCACCAAAGGATTAAGAAGTGGGTGATATTTACATTTTAGCTAACATGGCACAATATTACCTCTGTGCAGAGGACCATCACAAGGCCTGAGCACCATTTATGACCACCAGAGGGAACAGGGGAAATTCATCCTGTACAAAGGTACTGCACAGTTATTTCACAGCCCCTTTATCTTCTTTATATATCTTCTTCCCCTCTGTAGCGGGGTGGTCACCCCGCTCTTGCCTGGAAGGCCTTGAAGCAGCCCGGGAGAGGGCTGTGGCAGAGAAAAGCTGGGCTGATGGGGAAAGCAGCCACAGCTGTAGCCAGTGCAATCAGGGCCCAACTGGCCCTTATAAGAGGGCAGTGGGCCAGAAGCACGGAGAGTCTCCTCTAGCTGTAGAGGGAGACAGGCCTGGCTGCTGGGGAGCTAGAGAAGGTACCTGGAGTGGAGCAGGACTGGGGGAAATCTATGGGAGTTGGGGAGTTCTGGCCTGGAAACCCCCCAGGCTGTGGCCTAGTGGAAGGCCAATTAAGGGGTTGCAGGGGGCAGCCCACAGGTAGGCAGAGGCAGCAGGTCTAAACCCAACCTTGCCTCTGATGAGTGGCTTTTACACTGAAGTCCACCCCAGTGAGCAGGGGCTAGATGATGACTGGCAGTAGCCCACGACTGAGGCAAGGTGGGGATAGAGGGTTGGGGGTTCCCCTGGGTGAGGAGACCCTGAGACTGTGGGGGTATTGCCAGGGGGCAGCACCCCAAAGACAAGGGGCACTGGGTCCTGGGAGGGACATGGGGGGGCCAACGGCAGCGGGACACTGGCCTGCAGAGGGTGCTCCGGAGGCTGGACGAGCTAATTCCCTGCGAGACCAGCAGGAGGCGCTGCAGGGGTGAGTCCCACATCGCTACACTCTCTCACCCATCTTTCTAGGGGAAATATACTATCCAATTGGTTATTTTCAAGAAAAATCTGTCTCCTCCAGGCGTCTATGGCAGAAAATGTACACAACCCTCTCTCATGTAATGGCTAATGCAAAATAAAGTAACCCTGAAGAGTTATTTTGAAATACATGCTGATAAAAAGAACACAGTACATTGTATACAAAGAAGAGTTATACAACACTGTTTACAGAACTTGTAATAAGTAACCCTATAATCACAAAATGAAGTGACCCATATTTTCCTTTGAAGTTTTATCTTTATAAAGATTCTGCATAGCAGGCTAAACACAATAGCGCTGATTCATGATTGCATCAAAAGCATGAATGGGCCTATATTTATACCATATCTAGCAGAAAGTGAGAGAGAGAACGTATGCAGGAGATTGAATAGAAAAGCTTAATAAAACTGACACTCTAACAGCAGGTTTCTCAGCTTCACTTTTGCCTCTTTATGTGGGTGTATCATGTATATGCAATGATGATAACAGCTGGAAAGTACATCTCACCTGTTTTCTTCCTCCAGATCTGCTAGGATTCTCTCTAGCTCACCTCTTTCTTCACTCTCCAGGGAAATCAGAATCTGGGCAGGACTGCGAGGCTGGCTCAGCGGGGATTCCTGGTTCAAACTTTGGCAGTAGTGCTGGATTAACAAATGTTCATCATCTCTGGAAAAACACAGCAAAACCCAAAAAGCTGCTTTCTTCATCTTCATTTTTATCTTTGTGATTATTGATAGAAGGCAACTCAGAGAAAAATCTCTTCACTTTTGAAGAAATTCAGCTGGATTCATTGCAAGGAGCAGGGGATTAGTGTACTGGTAGTGAAATTTGCTCAAGTGATTACATTAATTCACTACGTGCCTTCCCTCATGCTCCATATGCTTGGGATCCACCTTTGCCTCCCTCCTCTTCCTCAGGTGTTTCAAGCAAAGCTCTGGTGCAGCTGAGGATCTTGGCCCCCATGTTTCACCTTGCTTCCATCCAGTGCTTAACCTGACTTGCTCACACTTGCATTAAAGAATCACCACCTTGTGCTACCTGCTATGCCACTGCATAAAAACTTGTGGAAGCAAGGCCAAAACATTTATTTTTACTCATAGTCCTTTATATCCATTCTTCTTATACCTAGCCCTTTTTCTATTTATACTCTCCTTCCTTCCCCTTTTCCTTTTAGTTTATTGTAGAGTTTAGTTTTACTAATATTTTTATTGAATATTATAGGTTTTTTTTGTACTGCATACACCTTATTGTTTTATGGTTGGAGTTAATGAAGTTTTATGTATCCAATTTTAAGAAAAAATGTAAAGATTTTATTTTCAATAATTTTAATCTAGAGATTTATGCCAAATTCAGTGGTTCATTGGAATTGCACTGATCATGTCAGTGGCCAGCCAGGCCAGTTCACTTTCTTATAAAGTTTTTCTGACACACAAATTATGTTCACATTTACACATGCAGCCAGAGTGTTAATTTTCCTTTTTAAAATGTTTTAATATATAAAACCAGTTTTATTATGGATGCAGTTTCATGTTGGGTACATGAAACTTTTCAGACATATAAAGCAAAAAGTTCCCTACACAAACAAATTACAAATCTACAAGCCCAATTCTGCACATCTTGCGTATTCCCAAATTTCACTGAGTTCTGGACATTTAAAAAAAAATGGGGGGGGGGGACGCTATGCTAAACTGATATCAGCAATAATCGTACAAGACCATAGTGGGCTGGGGTTTTGGAAGAATGGACACCACAGTAAGCAACGGGAAGGGGGGTGTCTTGTTTTTCAAATAAGTCATATTGAGAAATCATTTTGTATAGTTTGTTTATTTCATGTTTAACTCGGCATTTATAGTGTATCTACTGTAGTTACTTTTCAAAAATTAAAATATTGCTGCTTTAAATTTTATTCCTCAAAACACTAGTAAAGCTATTTTTTAGCCTATAAGAGTGCTAAACGATTTAGGTCATACTAAAATTATTTGAGGTAATAAAAGCATCTGAAAAACTTGTGACTTCAAAACAGGCAATCCCTTTTTTTAAAAACAGAAAATTAAAAAAAAAATCATTAGCTCCTACATTTAGAACTTTCATGCAACATTCCAGCCTTGAGCTGATCCACACAACTAAGTTACAAATCTGGGGAGAGAGAAGAATTAACAGAGGCTAAAGTAGACAAAGGAGAAAAATCTTTTATTAAAGATGTGTTTACTTGATGTATTTGATAGCATTTTGTGTAGAGTCAGATTCATGGTTTACCCGGTTAGATACTTAAGGTAAAATATTCAAAAGCCCTTAAGGGCTTGTCTACACTTCGGGCTAAATCGGCACTGCTGCGATTGATGCAGTGGTTTTGATTTAGCAGGTCTGATAAAGAAAAGCTAAGTTGATGGCAGAGCGACTCCACCTCCCCAATAGGCAGAAGGTAAGTCGGCAGGAGAGTGTCTCCGCTTGACATAGTGTAGCTAAGTCGACCTAAGTTACATCAACTTCAGTTATGTAACTGAAGTAGCGTAACTTAGGTCAACTTACAGTGTTACCGTAGACCAGTCCTAACTGATTTAATAACCCAAATCCCATTTTCAGAAGTGACTTGAGTACTTCAGAGCAGAAGACCAGTTACATTTAGGCTCCTAAGTACCTGAATTTACATTGGACACAGGGCTTAGGTGTATTTGAAATCTGTAACCTTTAATCAGTTTCCCCCCTTTTGTTTGTGTGTGTATTTCACAGAGCAACAGGATGCAGAAAACCATAGAGCCCTTCCCTCCCTCCCTCCCTCCCTCCCCCCCACAAGGAAAATGTGATCACAAAAGCACAAAATTTGCATAAGTGTCAGGTGCAGATTATGAAACTACTTTTAACAAAATTGACTAGATTTCAAACTAGCTGGATCCTTGGTCCTTTAAGTATAAAGCAATATAAAGACTATTTGTCAATGCATTTTTCCACATCCTGTCCAATCAAGGCTTTTGACTTTTAATATTTAATAACTAGCATGAGCTCATGCTGCCATTGCTTGCAGTAGAATTTAATTATTTGTAGACTGACTCTTTTTTAGTATGGCCCTGATGACCCCTCAAAAGGCTGCACTGACATTTTTAGCATCCAACATTTTTATCCACTTTTAAGTTTAAAGTTCACAGGAAAAAGGAAAACTTCAAACTACCAAGTAATACTTCATTTATGAGATACGCTCTGTGAGAGATTTTTTTCAATGTATTATGTGAAATTTGTGCTGAAGACATAACATTGGACTACTTTTAAGTGTGATGACATTTCATCATCAGCTGCATATGAGCAGCTTTGAGTTATACATCATAAATCCTGGCTTTGATATATATGGTGGTGGGCCATGAGAAGTCCATAACCAAACATACCACAATGAGGTCACACAACAGTCAGATGTGAACAAGAAAATGTTGTGAACTCCGTATTATTGGTACTTTATTGCAAGGTGCAGGGCTGGCTCTAGGCACCAGCAAACCAAGCACGTGCTTGGGGCGGCATAATTGTAAGGGCGGCATTCCAGGGGCAGCAGTTGCGCTCTCAGAGGTTTTTTTGTTGCTTGGGGTGGCAAAAAACCCTAGAGCCGGCCCTGGCAAGGTGCCAAGCCTTCACAAGCAAATGCACATCAGAAATATTCATAGAGATAGTATACTTACATGCTCTCATTAGGAGAAATACTGTCATTTAGGTAAGATCCATTGCTGTTCTCCATTTCTGCTAGCCTGTGGAAAAATTGAAAGATTCAATAAAACCCATAAGTCTCATTGCAGATTTTTCTGGCTCTAACTTTCCTGAAAACTGTAAAATATATAACATTTTGGTGACACGGTAGTCAACATATTAGAGACCCTAAATTTGGAAATCCGGACAACTTTTCACTTGCTGCTAGTTAACAAATGTGATTGCAAGCAGCTGTCACAAGTAACTCCTTATTCATTATCAATGATCTATCTAAATTAATCTCTAAATTACGTACAAATCCTCCTGGTTAAGCAGATTCTACTATGAAAGAAAGGCCTTAAGATGCCACAGGCTTCCACAAATTGTTCCATACCTGGCAATGTCATCACCAGAGCTGAAGTGACTTGTATGTTTCTAGTTTGTATGTAACATATAATTTAGAAAACATCTAGCTTGATCTGATTTATTTTTCATTTGAGTATGTATTTTACACAGTATCTACCCCTGAAAATTCCCCTGCGTTGGGGGGGGGGGGGGGGAAGGGGGTAAGAGGAGGGAAGAGGAGGAATCACTTTGTGTTGCAGATCTGAGCATTTACCCAAATGTTTGGTTCTTAAGATAAGAGTACTATGAAAAGTCCTCTTAAAACTTGGTAAGTGAACTACAGCAGTGGTATATTATCATCCCCCTCCAAAACAAAGAAAGATACCTTTCCAAGTATTTCATAAGCTCAATTCTTTAGTTTTACAATGTTGGCTAAATGTATCATTTGAGACTCATGTATTGGTAGTTAGAAATTTTGGAAGGCTCTGCATTATACAGGAATACCAAGAATTCTAATTAAAATAAAACCCTATGTAAGCAGAACGCATAACTTAATAAAGACCCACACAGAACTTAAAGGCCAGTTTTAACCAAGCACATGCTTTGGGTTTACCTATGTTAAGTGGCTCTTATTTACTCGCCAATCATTGCATAGTAGTCTGGCATGCAAGTTAATTGGTAGGTGGTTAGCAGTAGTTAGAAGGTGATGTATACTATCCACTCTAATTACGTTCAATTATTAAAAACCCTTATAATGATGGCTTCTCTTTTGTAGTGTATTTTTTTTTAATGGTTGTTTCAAGAAAGATTTGCCTAGTGTCCAGCTGGTCTCATACCTGCTAGCATAATGCTCAATGCGTGAATGAGTATCATCATGTGAAAGCTGAGGGGACGAGGCAGGCCTATAAGGCAGAAAACACTGATTAATCACAAATACCCCTTAAAAAGATAAAAATACACTTTGGTATGTTTATGCCCTTATGTTGCCATGGCTCATGGCTTCCATGGTTTATCCAATGTTTAATAAACAGCAAGCTATACTTGTAACCCATGATTTGTGTGCTTCCTTGATCCATCAGAGTAGAAGGTTTTGTGGCAGCATACAAAAGGGACTCAGTTCATTCAGGAGTTTTTCCTTGAACTTGATTTTTTATGATACATAAGCAAGAAGACGAAGCTGTTCCATGAGAGGTTTCTTGCAAAAGGACGTATAGATGAACTTTCTTCCCAATTTGCCAACCTCCTTCATTCACCACACTATTTCTCCTACTCTCCAGACCCACTGTCCAAACCTTGTGAAAAGTGTTTTGTTTCTCTCCCTTCCTGTTCTGAGATGTGTTTCTAGTCCAATAGTAGAAGTCTCATTAAAAAAAAGAAAGTAAAAAAGAGCTTCAAACACCTTCATCCATGCCCAATCAGGAAGTTACCTCATGAGATATACAATGTTAAGTGTTGAGCCTAGTCAATATACTTGAATAGGCGACTGCAAGAATTAGGGCCAGTGTTTTGGTGAAGGTCCTCTTCCCAGTTTCACTACGACCACAGTGTGGTATTAGGGGAACTGTAATGTTGGACCTCCCCAACTTTTGATCGTTACAAAATGAACTCCTGTCCACATTTGTGAACTGAAGACCCATGTGACTTTTCAAAAGAATAAGTTTGGTGTAGCCTTTGGGCTGCTCTACAATTGAAAGTTGTGCCTGTAGTCCCATGTCAATTACAGATGCAATGTTTTAGTGATAGGGTAATATTGGTATAAAGGTGCCTTATACCGGCATAACTTATTCTCCTTCCCAAATGGAAATAACTATTCTAATATAAAGCATCTTTATACTAGTATAACAGCATCTACACTAGGGAATTGTACCAGTAATTATACTGTTACACGTAAAGTGTAACTTTCTAGTCTAAACAAGGCCTTAGAATCTTAGAAAAAATAGCCAAATTCCAATTTGTGTACCTAAATTCCTTTTTTTTTTTTAAATAGTTTTGGTAGATAAAATGCTTTCACTTATTAGTTTCAAACTGTTATGCAGTGTTACTGGTACTGTCCAAGAGAGACAGTGTTCAACTCCAGAATAGTTGCATTTCAGTGGCAGATGAAACAATTCTTATATTACAGGTGATAATGGTACGTAATGCTATTGTATTAGGGGCGTGATGATCCTACAAAGCATTTACTATAGGATGATTATACATTTCTGATCATCTTCCAGTTTTTAAAGCAGTTTGCAAAGTGCTTTAGAAAAGTAGGCTTCTTCTGAATTCACAGAGCTATATACTGCATACACCTCTACCGTGATAGAACGCTTCCTCGGGAGCCAAAAAATCTTACCGCGTTATAGTTGAAACCGCGTTATATTCAACTTGCTTTGATCCACAGCCCCGCCCCCCTGGAGCACTGCTTTACCGTGTTATATCCGAATTTGTGTTATATCGGGTCGCGTTATATCGGGGTAGAGGTGTATTTAGAAGACATTGTTAATGCTCTTTTCTCACAGATTGGTAAAGCTTTTTCTATGAGATACTATAGGTCAATTATCATGAATCACATTTTTCTGAGACAAGGTTTGGCATTGCCAAGCCCACATTTATGCACCATGCTTTTAGACATCACCATACGCAAATCAGTGGATAAATATTCAATGTACTACATTGAAGTATTCAATACTACCTCCCTAAGATATTCATGGAAGATATCCTAATTTGCATGGAACTACTTTAAAACTGGAGGTAACTCAGAAGAGTGTAGATCAGGGCACTTTCAAAATCTGTGCTAGTAGGCATTTATTATTAATAATAACTAAGATTTTGCTATTTAGCTGATATCTCCCAATTTCTATATTCTTGACATTCAGAGCCTGACTGCATCTTCTGATGCCCCATCATCAGAAATTAAATTGCATCTTTAAAGGAGAGCAGGGATTGCTTCCTGTGCACCTTGAACTAACATACCTTGGGATAATGACATTGAAACTTGAGCATAAATCTGAAATATATATTTTACTATTACAAGAGGGGGAAATAGAATGTCAAAATAATTTCGCAAAATAAATAAAAAATAACTGGCATAGTCCAAAATGCTATTATTTCTCATTTTAAGCAACCTCCCCCCTCAAAAAGATTTAATGCATCACAAAGCCACTGTTTCTGACCATTTTTTCCTTCATAAACTAGGTTCTGCTACCAGCTCCATTCCACTCCCCAAAATGTTTTAAAGATTTCTCTGGAAACTCCTGAAATAGGGCTTTGTTTTTTGTGTGCAGTATCACCAAAACAACCCAACCCAGCCTCAATTCCTTCCTTCCTATTATTATTATTTTAAGAGAACATTGCAATTTTGTTTAAAGGCAACACAGTATTGGACAACTTGTTAAAACTGGCTATGTGGACATGCCAACTACAGGCAGAAGACACCTGAATGAGTCCATGAGTAAATTAGATTTAGCAGCTGCATAGAAATTTATCATCTTTGGTTCAGAAGTAATCAAGACATACATAGTCAGTTTGAATAGCAAATGAATGAACTGGTAGTAAGGCTAAAGGACATGGCAAATATTTAACAGAGGCAAACATTTTTTAAGAAAACCTCATTGATACATTTTTCAGAGCGGTGTCTGCAGTAATAACCCGGAGTCTTCTACTAAAGCCAAGTAAGAGTTGAGTAGCTAAGACATTGTGTTATAATGCCTTTACCCTCTTGGGTAATGATACATAGCAATGTGTTTTGAAATTAACTATTCAGCTCCTCAGGTCAAGGTTTCTTGACAGTAAGGAATCATTAAAGTGTTTTAGTGACAGATTCCCAGTTCAGTACTACCAAGTGATGACAACAGAAATCATAATTCCATTATAGAATGTATGAGTTGCCTCTGTAATGCTTGGCAACTAGAGATTATCTGCAAAATATCCACCCCACTCATAAGCAGTCTGAACCAGTGCTAAGAAGCACCACACTTTATCATATTTTTATAAACACTGCCAGCCCCAAATATCAGTGTCCACCTAATCAGCATATTCTCAGTGCTGTAATGGTATTCCTAGATGATTCACTTTTAGGCCAGAGTACTTTGGAGACCGATAGAAAACTGGTACTGAAGACCCAGAACCAGGGCTCTAGGCGTAGGAGAAAGTTGTCCGATAATCAGAATGTGGTCAGATAGTTAGATGCTTTCAGAGTTATGATCTGTATTATTGTGATGAAGGGTTCCATTGCTAAAATGGGTGAAATATGGAAATTTGGAAGAATTTAACTCCTTAAACCTATTTAGCCATCTCTATAGTGGTTTCTGATGTATCATGTGTAAGTTAAACTCTTTGATCCAATAACCAAATTTCCTACCCTTGGTATAAAGCTCTTAGTGTAGCATGTCACAAAGTTATTAGTATAAGTGATCTGTGGGCACCATGCCTTAAAAACAAATGTTATACAAACTTATCTGTGATATTATGTTAGACACAGCAACAACATTCTGTATCACCCAAGCTTTTATTTTATGAGTTTTTTATTTTTAAACTTTTTCTTTTAAGAGATCTAATTGTGTTTTAAAGAGTCAGTAATCTGGATCCATATATTTTGATCGACAGTGTGCTTAAATTATCAATGAGTGCATTTATAGGAGAAACCGTTTTACAAACACAATGCACCGTAACTCTAAAGCCCTCTACTACACTTTAGTTCCAAGCTTTGTTGATATTCTTACTAAGTGGAGTGTTAACCACATGCAATTTGCAATAGCATGCAAATTTCTTGGCATCTTAAAAATAAGCCTACTAGAGAAAGAGTGCTCCATCTGTCTTCACAACAATCTATGCTGTGTGTGAAAATTATAAATCAATATTCCAATGTATATATTTTGGTGTTGCTTATTCTAACAATAGTTCATTGTAAGTGAAATGTAGGTCACACATTTCAAAACATATATGCTAACAATAGTAAAGTTTCTTTCCTACTATTTTATGGTTCTCTCTTCACTAATATTCACCTGTGAGTGAATTAAGAATTAAAAGTAATCTTAACTTACCTAGTCTAAAATTAGCACTATAATGTGGTAGCAAATGCCACAGAGATCATTATAAATCTCTAGTTTATGCTGATGCTGCTACTACTACAATAAGACAAAGCATGTTCAGAGATGGTGCATGTATGAAAATCCAATTTACAGTTGAGAAATCTTATTGGTTTTGTTTCTGAAAAGTATAAAAAACTTTCCACAGTATTTTTAGAACTCCAAGACCCAATGCCCTATCTCAATGTCTCCTCAGAATACCTTCTAAAACAAAAAAGACTGTAATAAAATATCCAATGAATTGTTGATTATCATGGGGATGGGGTGGGGAGGGATTGTGTATGTGTGCATGAGAGTAAGTAAAACTTTAAATTATGGCCTTAACTGTAAGACCACTGTTATCTCTGAAATTTTTGAAAAAACAAAGTTCAGTGTATATAATCTGAAATACGTTTAGTTTACAATCAAGGAGTCTGCTCTTATTCAGAAATAACACACTCTCATAAGCATTAGTAGGACTATGCACCAAAATCCCTAATAATCAGATGAGAATACACCCTCCAGAGAGAGAATACATTTCACGATGCCTGGGAAACCCTGGTGTTATCCCATTCTACTGATCTGGAATAAAAATTATTCTTTCAGAAAGGCTACCAAGAAAAAAAATAAACAAAGAAGGAAATGAACATATGTAAAAACTAAATAAAAACAAAACAAAAAAAGTGAGGGAACGCAGCTGCAGCAGCACACTTCAGCAAAAGTACTCACGCAGAATCTACTGGCCAGAAGTTGATCAGAGTAACAGGACTGCAAGACAAAAAATGAGGAGGTGAAGAGAGAGAGGCAGAAAAACTCAGCAGCAAAATAATTACAGAAAGATTAAAAAAACCACAACAACTGAAAAACAGAAAATCCAACAGACCAACATGAATGACCATGAAAAGCATCTAACCAAAAGGTGGGAAATAAAATCAAAATATTAATTAAAAGAAAAAGAGAGATAACAAGCTGTTGTGCAACTGCCATTAAACAACTAATTATTATAAACTTGTTGTAAAGTTAAAAGAAGGTAAGGCCAGTCAGTGATCAATGAGCATCATCACTGGTTTTGTTTGTTTGTAAATATAATGAGTTCAAGTCATTTTGTGTGACCACAAACACGGGTAGCGAAAAGAGTAAGCTAGGCTGTGGCAATCAAATTAAAAACAAAAACAAAAAACCCCTCACTAAAGAGATACCGCCTTTTGGAAGAAAGTCAAAATGCAATGCTAAGATCGCTAGTTTCCAAATTACCTTATCCATTTTAAGGCCTTTCAAGAAAATCAATGCAGTAGGAGGTATTTTTCTTTTGCTAATTGAAGTTTAAATTATTGTAAAGATAGGTGAAAAAAGATGAAGGAAATGGCAATTGAAATGTCAGCTTGTGTTTTCCTTTCAGACATAGTAAACAAAAATGAAAAAAATAAAAAGAGGCTTTAGGCATTAAGGAAGTGAAGGGAGTTGGTGCCAACTGGGGAGCTCGAGGAGCATATCAAATGATATACTACTTATTTGCTTTAGAGTTAACTACTCACGTTTCCATGTTGTCTCCCTCCAAGACAGTTTGCACAGGCAGATAGCCCATTCTTGGGTGCTTTGCAAAATACCGTTTTGTTCGGAATTTGTTTTTCAGTACCTTGGCAAAGTCGCGGACATCTTCTCCTGAAGTTGTCTGAAAGCAACACCACAATGAAATCATCCTCTAATTATTATTGTCCTTGATCATCTTTTCTTCTGCTAGATCAGGGGTCGGCAACCTCTGGCATGCGGCTCGCCAGAGTAAGCACCCTGGTGGGCCAGGCCAGTTTGTTTACCTGCCGCGTCGGCAGGTTTGGCCGATCGCGGCTCCCACTGGCCACGGTTTGCCGTCCCAGGCCAATGGGGGCTGTTGGAAGCGGCTCGGGCGAGGGATGTGCTGGCCACGACTTCCCGAAATTGCCTTGCCTTTATTCTGACTCAACCCTCTTCAGGTAAGGAGAAGCTGTTGTGTTCTTTGGATCTGGTACGAGTTCTCAAATTCTTCTTGAACAGGACTAAAAATCACAGATCCTCAAGTTTCTTGTTTGATATGTGGAAAATCCACCACACAATCCACTGTTAGTTGGACACATTCAGGTATTTTGGAAGCTTACATGAAAGAAGGCATTCTTGGCCAACTGACAATTAAATTGTCTATAAGGTTGATGGCTTTGTCTTGGGCTGAGACAGCAAATACTTTGGTGTTTAAAATCTTTCAGAGGGGCCACTGCAATTCTTTTTGTTCATTTTCAAATCATTACGTTCTGGACACTGAGGACTCAGTGGATGTTTTGTTCAGTCATACAGTACTTAGGGTTATTTTTCAGTTAAAAAAATAGCTCAGAGACTTTTGGCACTACATGCTCAAATTTTTTCCAGTTTAATCCTCTCCTAATTCAGCTCACTGCTGGTTCAGCTATGCACAACTAATTAGTATGGATTGCTGGAGCTCAGAACTAAAGAAGATTTTTACCATCTGTGAAATGGGTTCTTAAGACTGAGCTCAGCAATCTGCATGCACTCTCAGTTTTCTGTTTTTCATTATTTTGCCTGTTACTAATTTGAATTTCTTATATCTCTATGGAAAAGTGCACTGGGTCCTATAATAGACTCAAAGGAGTGAACATTGTGAATGGGAAATTCTCATTCTTATTGTTTCATTTACCTCCAACCATTTGAGGGACAGAAATTCCCATTAGTTAGAGCTCTGTTGTCAAAACCGATCATTCAGGTAAAAATGGTGGTAGCAGAGGTGTTATTCTGTGTACTGAATACATTTTTTCATGAAGTCTTTGCTTCATTTGCTAGGAGAATAAAGGTGGCAAGAAGAAACAATAACCAACTCAGTGAGATTCCTGACCCCAACTACAGTTGTGAGGAATGAACAAATGTGCTCTAATGATCTGAAGTTTAGTGTGCTCTAGCAATGCTTACAGTAGAATAATCAGTTCAGATTTGTCTGTGCTGTTCTAGACTTTCCCTCTGAAATGAGCAACAGTACAACACATCATCATTTCCAGTAATCTCAGTCAATGAAGAAAGGGCAGGAAAGGATAAAGCGTATGGAGAGTTTTGGTGAAAAGCTGGCAGAAGCAAATGTATTGTACACTTGCAGAGATTCACACCAGACAGTGCCATACCCTCCAATACACAGTGAACTGCATGTTTTAGAAAGTAGTATGCATATCATAAAGAAAATAATGGTTGAAGTCAAAAACAAATAATGCTGTAATGAAAATATATCATAAAAATGGACAGAAACTTTATTCTTGCCTCATTATAACATCTTAGGGGTATATATTTTCCTCTCTGCTTTTTTAACTCCCCATTCATTGAGACAAGCTTACAACCCTTATTCTACCTTGCACGTGTCCCTTAGTCTGCATACAAATTAGATACAAACATTTTTAGTTTCCCAGTGGGTATGTATTAGTTTGATGGTTTTATTTTAAACATTTACATTTGACCAGCAGACAAAAATACAGGATCTTGTGAGCACTAAACCACATTGTGAACTGGAAGCCAGACTGTGGAGTGCATCAAAACTGCACAAAATGCAGGTTGCTGGGTCTGCAAAAGTGGCTTAAAGCTCAGTACAGGGGCAGTCCTTCTGCACTACGTAAGAGCGCTCTAACATACACACAGCTACAATGGACACATGGAGCCAAAAATACACTTGAGAAGCTGTCTGGTATCGGATGATCTTACCTCTTCCACATTTTCCTCTTACAGGGGAAGGTAAAGAGCTGCCTTGTCTGCTCTATGCCATGGGAGAATCATGCTTACATGAATAATCCTCCCTGGACCAGTTAAATAGGGTTTAGGGCCAGATAACATGAGTGGTGAAGCACAAAGCAGAGGCATTTCACTGGAAAATCTGGCTCTTGGTCTCCAGTTGTGAAAATCCAGTTCATTATTTTTAAGTATCTCCTAGATCTTTACATATCACTATATCATCTTACAACAAAACACCACCACTAGTATGCTGAGAATAATTTTGCAGCTGAAGAGACAGTCATGACCAAACGAAAATATCCACAATCTGTCAAAACAGCTATCACATTAAACTAATTCTATTAGTGACTGATCTTTCAGTACAGAGCTTATTATGCACTTAAAGTACACTGGAAAAAAGAATGGAGGTGCTAACTTGGAAGGGCCCTCATTGATATATTGTGAGTTGATTTTTTTTCCCTCCCATAAGATACAAATAGATTTTTCAAGAATCCTAGCCTTACTGTAGAATACATAAAATCAATTATTTAACACTGAGCACAGAACCCATTAGCATATAATGAATGATTTTGATATAGCGTTGTATAAACAATGAAAGGCAGTAAACCTTAACTCCCAGTTACTTCAAACCATTACTGTTATTCCTCACTGTGCATTTCAAAATGCTAGGCTCTAAAGACTGGGGTGTAGAAAAGGTGACTTAATTACAGAAAAAAAAAAATCCTACACAAATGCTCTGTTAGCTTGCACATAGCAACTGAAGCTTTTTACTTCTACATAATAATCAACATTAAGGGTCACTGAGGCAGATACCTACCGGTGTGCAGTACTCCACCATTGGATAGTGCATTTTATGGCCTTTTGCCACTCGGCCAGAAAAGAAACAGCTTTGGCAGATGTCATAATTAAAGTGCTTTAAGCTTCTGTACCTGATGGAGGGAGGAAAAAATTGCCATTAGAACTTCATAGCCTATCATAACTGAATTTTGTTTCAATTTGTAAAGAAGTTTCCTTTGCCAATAGCTCCTTTCCCCCCAAGATAGCCTTGGCTGTACACAATGCACTGTACAGTAAGCATAATAAAATGTTTGTTTGCCATATAGGGCCAATATAGAGCAATTTGAAGCAAGGTGATTATAAAATTACTTATACATTTGCAAAAAAATAGAATCACAAAAATTATAGTAATTACAGGGCAATACCGGGAAAGCACATATGCCAAAGGAAAACCGAACCAATGTCATTAAAAATATATATATACAAAATGTACCCGCACATTTCTGATGAGCTGAAATTAATGTCAGTTCTTTTTATCCCTCTTACCCTTCCTGTCATCACACCTCCTAATCAAATAATTTCAACTAAAAATGCCCTTCAAATAACCCCAGGAAACTCTGTTGTGTTCTGCACATTAAATAGCAATATGTTTGAGTTCTGTCTAGTTTCTTTATTATAATAGCTTGCATGTATGAAGAGCCTTGAAATTAAAGGATCTCAATGCACATTTACAAACATCCATTTAGCCTCAGCACTTATTATATCTGTTATGTTGCAGTGTGGGAAGGAGCCAGGAACACAGAGTCTGTGTTGTTTTAAGAGGTTCATTAGTAATAATTTCAAGTGAGAGAGTTAACAGCACTGTTTCTAGGTGTAGTCAGTCTCACAGTTATATACTCTCTAAATGCCTTCCAACACAATGTGTATTTTGAAGATGTGAAAACTGAGGCACACACACTATCTAAGCATAATTTACATACCACAGTAATAGATGCCCTGGAAATACTTAAGAGATATACTAGATAGGTAAAATTAGATTAGATTTTATGCACATATGTAGCCAAGATCTGCTCGGTCCCAGTCCGGTGCCTTAACCAGAAGGCTATCCACTCCCCTGACAGCCCTGGCTCACAACAATAGCTCCCTTTAACTTTGTTTGAATAATTATGGAGACAAAGTAAGTAAATAGGCATTTTCTTATATTGCATTTGGAAATAGGAAAGTATAGAAAACTTTCTAGATGGAGTAACCTACTCGCAATCCCATCGCCTCCTTCAATAATGTTTACCATCCCTAAGTTGAAATATGCATTGGGAGAAAAGGCACAAGGAGATTAATTCAGATAGCAAGGGAACTGATACAATGACCAAAAAACAGGGATTGTTTAATATTTAAAAAAGCACCTCCTCCAGCTATGAGGGGGAAAAGTGAGAAGGAAGCAAGACACTTTCCCACAGCATCTCCACCTAAAGCCATCATTCAAACCCTCAAATGTAGGGCAAAATGATGACATCTTTATCTGAATGCTGCCTGCCCTCTGTTGAATATCTGGGCTTTAGAAACAGCATTATAAAAAGCTCTTTGTAAACAGCACGATACACAGAAGTATAAATATCAATGGTAAAAAGACCATGATGAATAAAAAGCACACAAACCATACAAAGCAGCTATTAGGAAACAAAGTGATAAAACAAGTCTAAGCATAATTGAAAGCGAGTATTTACTTAGCTGTTAAGTGGATTCTGAACAGGCATACCAATACATAGCCATTTTACAATGATTTATTCATTGCTATAGTAACCACAGGGTTCATCCAGATATTTAAATCCATCAGCAACATTTCAGAATCAAGAACTTCTGATTATTGTTAAATAAGAGATGTTTACCAGAAGATAGGCCGAGTAGATTCTGTCTAAAGCAATGATCATAATATAATGGAATTTCTAGCATACTAGGTTAAATAGTCCACCAATTAAACTCTCTTTCGCTGAAAAATATATAAATAGCCCTGGATTTTTGTGCTTCTGTGATTTTTTCTGTTCATTTGCATGCTTTTATATCATCATGGAAAGCAATTCATTAGGATCCAATCCAGAAAACATAATCATGTTTACAGAATAGATGGAATATAAAGTAAATTCTATAGTTACTAGGACAATCCACCAATCCTTTGGTAGGGGAGGAGGAGGACTGGCAGGAAAAGAAGCATTTGATTTGAATTATCTCCCCCCCACTCAAGACTGTTGTGCTCAATTCATGGATATAGTTCTCCCTGTAGGATAGCAGTACTTGCTTGTTTGTTTATTTTTTATATTTGCTAAATCAAAGGAATAAAAACAGAAACATTCTCTCCTGGGTAAGAGAGAGAGATCTTAGTATGCTAAGCGGCTGAAAGTACTGTAGCAGAAGGGGTATTATTTTGTACCTGAATCCAATAATGGGACACTCCTTACAGATGTTACACTTAGCTTGGTGTTTGGCAGTTTCAGCAGCAGCCACCCTGTGCAACACTGGCAGCCATACCATGGACTGTGGTTCCAGCCTCATCCAATCCAAGAACAGGGCTGCTTCAATTTCTGGCTTGTTATTGGCCTGTGAGAGAGGATGAATAAAGACAAGGACTCAGCAAAGAACAGCATCCCGATGATTGCCTGTCCAACCCACCAGCCTCCTCACCCTTACCTTGTCACTGAGCCTTCAATCCTGGTCAACTCTCCCATGCACCAACCCTAAATGCCACTTCCACGACCTTCTCCTCAAGAGGCACTGCTCAGTTTCCTGAATAATGCATTCCCTCATTCTGAACTCCACTTCATTCCCTTTAACATCTCTAACTTTTCTGTGGCAGTTATGAGCTCCAACCCATTGACATCTCTGTGCTCTCATCCTGCTCCTCTCGTCTCCTTTACTGGCTATATAGAGGATTCTCTGAGCTCCACTCATTCTTCCATCTGTTCCTCTTGTGACATTGTGCAGTCTATATGGTTTTATAAAAATATAAGTGAATATAACGTAACTGGGATATGCTTCATGCAAAGGGTCTCTTGTAAGGTATCATTACAAAGCTCATAATCTACTGTGTGATCATCTATTTGTAGAAATGTACCACTATTGTATCTAAAACTAGAAATATAAAACATAACTCTGAGGGCCTATTGTAATTATGTAAAGTGTGGGCCATTAAGGATGGTTTGGAATCTTGATGACTCCCATTGTCTGCAGATGGATGTATTTACCTAGGAGTCTTCCTGTATATGTGTGTGCTGGCAAGTGAGTAATGAAGTCTTGCAGTGACATGTGATCATATCACCTGAACTGGAATCCATCTTTAACCTGGTGCTTTTCCAGTGAGGGGGGGTGGAAACCCGGAGGGACAAAGGGTTCCCGCCTTATGCAAAAGATTTAAAGGGGTGGAAGAGAACAAGAGGGGTGAGGAGCCATCATGAAGAATCCCCTAGCTATCACCTGAGGTGGAACAAGAGCTGTACCAGGGGAAAGAATTGTGCCCAGG